ACCATCACATCTTCCAAGGCTTTTACCAAACGACGTTGAATATAACCAGTTTCGGCGGTTTTTACAGCAGTATCGATCAAACCTTCACGTCCACCCATAGCGTGAAAGAAAAATTCCTGTGGAGTTAAGCCACGAAGATAACAATTTTCGACAAATCCGCGACTTTCTGGGCTATGATCATCTTTCGTAAAATGTGGCAAAGTGCGGAATTTAAATCCGAATGGTATACGTTTACCCTCAACATTCTGTTGACCGACACAAGCCGTCATTTGCGAAATATTAATAAAAGATCCTTTTGAACCAGCAATAACCATTTGTTTGACGTTATTTTCCTCTTTTAAGCTTTGCTCTGCGCTTTTTCCTGCGGCATCACGAGCAGTATTGAGTTCTTTATTTACCCTGTGTTCGAACGTTTCCCGTATAGTCATACCAGGAGCACATTCCAATTTGTCCTGTTGCGCCTCTGCAATGATTTCAGCTACACGTTGCTTAGCATTACTAATTGTATTAGTAATATTTTTCATCGTTTCGTCATCAGCTATCGTGTCACCAATGCCAATACTAAACCCATTCTGTAGCAACCATTGATTGACAACAGCTTGACATCCGTTTAAAAAGTCTTTTGCCTTTTCAGCTCCCAGTTCATTCATAATAACATGAACTAAGCCTTGATGTGTCGCACCAACCGTCTTTTTACATACAATACCACAAAGTAACTCTCCATCTTCTATCAAAACTTTAGTATCACCAGGAGAAATATCTGAATGTTCATTTTCAGGGTGGCCAGAATGACGCAAATTGTCCGAATTTATACCTTTAGGAATAATCATACTCAAAATTTGTTTACCAGTCCATAAAGGAATTGGTTTCAAAATACATGGGATTGGAAGGCGACCATCCCAATCTAATACCCACATTAAAATGTTCATTACTAAATCTTTTGTTAAAAAACAATCTCGTTTAGTGAATTTTCGAACAGCACACAAAGTGTCCTGGACAATGCCCATTACAGGTTTATTTGATTGGGGAGATACCACTTGTTTAGGTACCATGCAAATTTCAGAAATCTCTGCTTTAGTCTCTACAGATTGCGGAACATGCATATTCATTTCATCACCATCAAAATCAGCATTATAAGGTGTTGTGACGGA